CAGTGGGGACAAGGCCTAAGCTTTGCTCTACTTGCAGTCCTCTTAGTGCTAAGAAGCACTTAAAAAGAAAGATGAAGTGTATGACTGGGCATACAATGTGAGGGTCTCCCAAGTGACCTGTCCAGTTATTATAGGCCAGTCTTCTTGCCTATATTAAATGTATCATAGAGCAGAAAACACATCAGGAGAGAAACTGAAGGACAAGGGGGTAAAAATCTTCAGTGGATTTTCAACTCAAACAGAGCTCTTAGAAGGAAAGCTATTTAAATCTGAGATGTTCCTAATATTAATTATCCTGAACATCTCGCAGACTCAGATTCACATGCTACAAAGAACACAAAGCCTTTTAATTTTCCTACCTGTCCCTGAGACTAGCAGTGATAGATATACAGAGAAACCACATGTGACTAACAAACCAGCCCATTAGTGGGGAGCAAAGATCGTCTGCCAAGATGACTTATCTGGACATAGTCACACATCATAACCAGCAATGTCCTGGAGGCTTAAGACAGCAGGCATGGAAGGCAAGAGCTGGGGCACTCCCTGCCAAGTCTCAGGACTCCAGGGTAACTCAGGCATCCTCCAGATGCCTGCTTTCCAGGCATGAAAGATTTTACTCACGGCTGCCCCCTCCCCAGTCCCTTCAAGTTGCACTTAGAAAATTACTGCAACTTCTAAAAGGCTTCTTGGGTCACAGAGCTCCTGAGCCCCCAAACCTTGTTACGGTCTCTGCTCTGCAACTCTTGGAATTCAGGAAGAAGACCCGGCCTCTGCCACCAGGAACCTTAACTGTTAAATATCTTTACTGTAGCCACTCATTCAAGTACCTGGGCTCCAACGAAATATCAGATCCTATCCTAGGTGCTTAGGCAGATCCATAAATAAAGCAGGTGGGAACAGATGGAAGAGAAAACTTCCCTAAATGCCAATCCCTTCATTTTACCATGAAAAGTGAGGCCCAGTGACAAATAGAAATTTTCACCTGAGGTCAGGGTTGAAGGCTTGGCTAGGGCCTGAACCCAGGCTAGACACTCAAGATGACTGTGACATACAGTGGTGCATAAGCGCACATTCTTCATATAGGTGAGGGGCAGCCCCACTCTCACTGCCCAATTCCCTTTAACAAAAGTCCCCTTTACTGGAAGGGACAATTGAGGTTCTCTAGATCAGCAACCAGCCATCATCAGTAGGACCCAACGCTGTCTGAAACCTTTTATCGGGATGTAAGCCTGGCAAGCTATTCACTCCCAACTCTTGTCATGTGTTCAGTTCAGTTCAGTCGCTCAGTCATGTCTGACTCTTTGCGACCCCATGGACTGCAGCACGCAAGGCCTCCCTGTCCATCACCAACTCCTGGAGCTTACTCAAACTCACGTCCACCGAGTTGGTGATGCCATCCAACCATCTCATCCTCTGTCGTCCCCTTCTCCTCCTGCCTTCAATCTTTCCCAGCATCAGAGTCAGCTCTTTGCATCAGGAGGTCAAAGTGTTGGAGCTTCAGCTTCAGCATCAGTCTTTCCAATGAATATTCAGGACAGATTTCCTTCAGGAGGGACTGGTTGGATCTCCTTGCAGTCCAAGTGACTCTCAAGAGCCTTCTCCAACACCACAGTTCAAAAGCATCAATTCTTGTCATATGTGAGAAAGGGCTATTGAACTTGAATAGCAACCTACCTATGACCCTAACATAATTATGACAATAATTTCCTATATTATCATCAGATCTGTAAGGGAAGGCAGTCTGCAAGCTGTTCCTCATTCTTACCAACCCCTTTACTCTCCAAATGAACCCAAGATGAGCATCTGTCACTGCTCAGTACCACATGACAGGAATACTTACCTATGTGGTGCTAGGCATACAACAGTGAACACATCACCATCATCAACAAGAGCACAACACTGTCCCTAACTTCAAGGAACTGAGACATGCTGAAAACAGGGCTGGGAAAAACCCAACTGCTAAGGAGTCCCCGGCCAGACTGGCAGTCTACTTAGGGGCCGAATCTGGAAGCAAGAGTTTATGTCTCTTTTCCTCTCTCTCATCGCACTTTACAGAAGGAAAAATAAGGTCCAGGAAGGAGAGGAGGTGGCTTGTCCAAAGTCAGACAGTTGATGATTGAGCTGACACTTGAATCCATGTTCTCTGGGTTCCCCTTTTCACCACACCGCCTCCTCCAAGGTTCCAAAATTACAAGTGAGGAGAAATCGTTGGTTCCAGTGACAGATGGTTTCCTGATGTGTGAACAACCAGAACAGGCAGCCTCAACCCATCTTATCAGCAGAGACCTTGTGTCCATGTCTATCTCTCACACCAGAATGTTCATAAGTATACTTCGTCGATCTAGAGCCTGAATGACCAGTCTTCATTCACTCTCATTTATCACCCTCTCTGAATCACTCCTGATGCTTACTTTTGCTTTACAAACCTCATCTTATAAGAACAGAGCCCTTTTTATCTGATGCTAGCTCCCCCTCTGTTCCTGGGGTCTAATCAATCCACGTCTGGAAGTAAACAAGCCAGGCAGGGAAGCAGCAGTCCCTTTTCTGAAAACAGGCACCTTTCTAAAATGATCTGCCCCTGGGCTTGGCACAGATAGAAATTTAAATGAGAAGGAAATAAAGACATCCTCCAGCAACAGGCAAACGCATTCCTCATCAGGTGGGACACCAGGGAAGTTAACTCTGTGTTAACAGCTAAACCAGACACTGCCCACATTTTTTGTTTTTTTTCGGGTTATTTGGGGAGGTGGGAAAGGGAGGGGTTCAAACTCAAGACACCTGAAGAGACAATAGGCTTCAAAATATAATAGTATATATAGTCCTGTCCCCTCTGTTCTGAAGAGCTTGAGGTCTTCAAGACAGTAAAAGAGGGCTCTTTGAATTGAGGGCTCTTTGAATCTATACCTTTAGCATTGAACAACTAAAGGTACAGACAAGCAGGCTTCTATCTACTACCAGGGGTGTACAGAGACACCAGACAGAAAGATCCAGACACCTGGCAACTAACACAGACCTCCATCCATTGTGTTACTTTATGCTCACCGGCACAGCAGAATTTCCACACCTCCCACCATCCCCAGCCACTGCAGTAAGTCACTGCCCACAGCCTTTGCCCTCAAGGGAGGTTCTCCTGGTCTAGAGGGGCAGAACTTGGTTCCCCATTAGCCAGCCCACTCTTCCTACCACGGCTCCCAACCAGAGGCTTTCAGAAATGGGTCACAGTCTTAGATGCAAATGCAGAAAGCACTGCTTCCGAAGAGGACAGTAGTTAATTCTTAATCCTTTGGTGGATCTTTTTGAAAATCTAATGGCAGCTCTACACTCCATGAAAAACTGCAGGCATGCACTTTATATGTAATTTCACTGGGAGTCACTGCCTTCCAAGGAGGTCTGAAAGGGTTAATGTGCTCAGAGGCAGTTTTGGGAAAGGGAGCTGGAGTGGTTCAGGTGAGTATTCAACAACATAGCTCCTTAACCTGTGGGGGAGAAATTATGCCCCTTTCTTAGCTACTGCAAGTTCCAAGCTTCAATTAATCTTTGGGATTTCAGTAAGAATTTGGAAACTGACAGTGCACACTTGCACACAAGAAGCAAGGACCCATCTTTGTGATTTCCAATCCTGACATCACAAAATGTCCAGCAACTGCTAGTTATTCAGTAAGATAGAGTCTCCACAGGGCTTAGCATAGAAAGCTGAGTAACAACAGCAGAGATAACTAAGGTAGAGGTGGGCTCTGGGAGCGAGGGTAGACTGGACAAGGGGAGGAGGGCGGCTCAGCTCTCCGCTGGCTCTGAGCAGGTCTGGCAGGGCAGGTCCTGACCCTTGCTGCCTGCTCTCCCTGGAAATCAGAGCAGACTTGCTGACTGCTCTGCAGCAAACCAAGAGGTCCAGATAGAAGCAGTCCCTTCCTTCTGGATCCACGGGGACAGGGGAGCATCTTCTTGATTCTAGGGAGGAGACCCTGGCCCACTGCTTGCCCACAGCCCCCTCGTGGTCCGGGGGTGTCACTGCAGCCCCCTCCGCAGTGCTGGGCAAAATCCTCACACAGGCGGCTCCAACAGCAGGCAGCTCTAACAGTGTCTGAGCAGAACATTTAGTTATCAGTGGTGGCTTGGCAACTGTCTCCAAGCCATGGTGAGGCTGCATTTGCTTTTGGTGTCTTAAACTAGGACTCAGATTCAGACTCAAAGTGATCCATCTAACCCCTGTCTGGTACAATCCCTACAGGACACCAGTCCAAGACCTGCTTCATTAAGCCAATAACCTCAGAACTTCTGTATCATTACCACTACCTTATTGATCACTGCTCCTTGTATCACATGCAATTATGTACAATTGTTCCAAAGCTCGATAGAAACAGTTAGCAAGAATGTAGGACATCTTCTGGCTTGTGGGTTGCTGACTAGATTACAAAATACTTGCAGGACATGAAGTATCCCCCAAATTCTGGATTTCCAGGTAGCAGATCCTAAAGGGATTTAGGAGATGTCATGACTTAAGGACTCACAGTGAGAAAGAACATGGCCCTTGGCCCCTTCAAACAGAAAGGGTGCCCATTAATGAACCCCACTCCCGTATTCTTGCCTCAAGGCTCCCCTGGACAGAGGAGCCTGGTGGGCTACAGTCCATGGGGTCGTAAAGAGTTGACGCCTGAAGCGACTGAGCACACATGTATGCATGCAGCAACTCCACAGAAATCTTGTTAGCATCTCCAAAAGGGAGGGAGCAAGGCCCACCTGGGCTCAGGACTGGACTGGAAAGGCCAGAATCTGGGGGTGAGGGAAAGTTGGTTTAGGGCTTTAGCTACCATCCATCAGGAATGCAGATGGTTAACTGAACCCAGCACTGGAAAAGTGTGCAGGAAGGAGTGAAGGTGGGAAGTTTGGGAGGAGGGCCTCGAGTAGGTCAGGGACCCCGGGAGTGACTGGGGGTGAGTGAGGATGGATGGGAGCACAAGAGCGTCTTTTAAAATATTCTGTGGAAGGAGGAGAGTCCTTACCTCCTTGATTTTCTCCCGCTGGGTCTGAACTAGGCTCTGGGGCTCCTTACTCCCGTCGGCCCTAGTCCCCAGGACCGGGTGGCGAAGGCGGCTCCGGAACGCCTTGAAGTCAAAGCTAGAGGGGACGCTCCCCTCCTGGGGTCTGAGGGCCGTGGCGCCGCCGCCCCGGGTCGCCGTGGCCTCCTCCCGGTGTCCGGTGGGGTGCGTGCGGCGCAGCCAGCCTTTCCTGCGCCGGGAACTGGCTTGGCTGCCGGGGTCATCCTCGCCGGGGGCTGGAGCCGCGGGGGCCGGGTTGGGAGGTGACTCCTGTCCGCGGGCCCGCGGGTGGCTGGCGACTTGGGCCACTGCCTCCAGGCTGGGCTGCTGGGTCCGAGGGGCCAGGAAGAGGCGCTTGAGGCGAGACGAGTTGGGCAGCAGGAACAGGGCCCCGAAGCACAGGGTGACCAGGCCGGAGAGGAAGAGGAGGAAGACGAACTTCTGCGGCAGCCGCAGCCCCCACGGGGAGGCCGGGACGAAGCCGGGCACTTTCCTCACGAGCATCGTGACCAGGCACGGGGCTGGGGCACGCTCAGCTCCGGCTGAGCTCCTGAGGTCCTCGGAGTCCAGGCACTTGTCAGCAGCGGGGCTCGGCGAAGGGAGGTCGTCGAGGGCGCGCCGCCCGGGGTGGGGGTCCCTGAGAGTTTCGCCCTTTGGGGGGCTTGTTCCCGAAGTTCAGGGAGTTTAGAGAGAGTCCTCCCGCGCCGGGACAGGGGGAGCGGCGGCGGCCTCGGCGGGGCCCGGGCGAGCGAGGCAGGAAGGCTCGGGGCCCGGGCCCGCGAGGGTCGACCGCGCACCGCAGCCTTCCCTCCGACCGCCGCGCCGCCCCTCCTCGCCGCGGCCGGAGCCCGCGGGGCCCGCGCCCCTTCCCGCGCTGCAGCCGCCACCGGAGCCCGTCACATGCCGTCCGCGGCGCCCAGGCTTGTCCGCGCGGAGGGGCGCCCGCAGGCCTCGTCCCCGAGCCGAGCCGCCCTCAGAAACCCCCCACCACCCCGGCCCAAAGTTTTAGCCTCAGGAGCAGTTTCCAGAAGGGGTCGACTCCCGGTGGCGGGGGGGACGACGCGGCCGGGCTGTCAGTGGCGCTCCGAGAGCGCGCTGGAGCGGCCGGGTCGCGACAGCGCCGGGGCTTTGGCTATCGGGACACGTCCACAACTTTGCTTCGCCGGTCGGGCGCCGGGGAGCTGGGGGTGGTGGTGGTCAGGCACTTCCGAGCCAGGCGGGGCAGGGTGGGGGGGCTTCAGACGGGACCCGGGAGCGGAGGGATGCCTGAGCCGGGTCCGGAGCGCAGAGCCGTTCGCGACCAGCCGTGGCGGGGGCGGCTGCAGCTGCGCTGGGAACGGGGTGGGAGGAGCGGGAGTGCGGGCTCCCGCCCCGCCAACTCTCGGTAGGGCTCCGGGTTCCCGCTGGGATCACCTGTTCCCGGTGCCCGCCGGCTCCGCGGAGCGCGCAGTCCCGGCTGCGCCTCCCCCGCTGCAGCTGGCTTCCTCACCGCGGCCGCTCCAGACGGGCCGCCGCCGCCGCAGGCTGAGCCGCCGCCGCCGCCGAGCCTGCGCCCCAACACGCGCGCACACACCGCCCGGACGCCCCCGCCGCCGCGGCCGCCGCAGCTCTGGCTTTCACGGAGGCAGCGCCCGAGGCCCCGCCTCCCGCCGGGCCACGCCCTCGGGCCACGCCCACTGCGCGCGCCCCGCCGTCCGCCGCCGCCGCGGCGCCGCAGCCGGACCAATTGGCCTGGCGACCCGGGATGGGGAGTGTGCTGGGGCCTAAGCCCGAGTCCGGGAGAGGGCCCGGGACTCCAAGCCACGCCCCCTCCCTCCAAGGGCCGGCGCCGCCGCGCACACCCCCACCCCCCCAGCCCACCAGCACCAATGGTCCAGCTGCGCGGGGTTGGCGAGGGCGGGGGGTGGAGAGCGGCGCGAGGTCATTGGCTGCCTCGCAGGGATCCCCGTTGGGCTGCGGTCCCCCATTGGTTAATGCCCAGCATTCGCCGGACTGGGAGCAACCGAGACACCCCCCCACCTCCGCCCCGCTTCTTGCCCCCACCCGCGTGGCTCAGGTTGTTGGTCCCCTGGAGCGGGCAGAGGACCCAGCCGGTCTGCTAGGGCTCCGGAGGCCGCTCGGTAACCTCACTCACCCCCTCAGTGCCAGTCCAGAATTGGCAGGGAGCCGGGGGCTTGCCCGGGGGTCCCAGAGCTTCCTCGGGAGCCGTGGAGGTGCTGCTGTGGTCGGCTGTGAGGAAGGGCTGGCTGAATCCCCCGGCTAGGGAGCTGTGGCCACGGTGGGGCTGGGTTCAGGCAGGGTTTCCACCGGACGCCGCCCCCCACCCCGCCCCCGCACCGGCAGACCACAACTCTGTCTTCCCTTTCCTACGGCCCCAAACCAGGCCGGGGCCCCTGGGTGGGGCAGGGAGAGACGCTAACCGCAGCGGAGCAGCGCAGGGCAAGGAAGGAGAAAGAACCTTGGTCGTGTGCGTAGAAGACCACACACATCATGTGACATGCCTACCCAGATGCCTGCGTGTGTTTATGTGCTCGTGTGTGCTTCTATGCTTAGATGCAGACGCGCTCGGAGATTTCTTGTGGGTGTGTCCCTGCACACAAACTTACGCTTAATTTAGGTAGAAGTGATTTACCAAAGCGCACGTAGACGTATATGCATATTATACATGTACTAATTTACATATTAGTATAAATAGTGACACGTACACACATCCCCACATGATACTTACAAAACAGGTCCAAGAAACACGCGTGTACACACTACCAGGCATAGAGACACAGGTGTCTCCACCCCCAAGGTCCTCACCCTTTCCTCCCTTCTCCTCCTATTAAACCTAACCCAAGGCAAAGAAACACTGTGCTGTGTGGGTCTTTCATGCAAAACACTTTATAGAGACAAATAACAGCAGAGGGAGAGACAAATTAAGAGGTGTAATAGGCAAGAGGGAAAATATCTGCTTTCAGCTGCAATTTAAAATGAAATGCAGCGTTGATGAGACAGAAAATACTGCAGGGAGGCCTTTCCAACAGAAGCGGCCCAGGCGGCTCTCACCTTGTAAATCTTGCTTCTTCCCTGAGGCCTGTTACCGGTGGGACTCTGACATCCTTCTGCCTCTGGCCAGGCCGCTGACAGCAGACCCTCCCCTGATGTTTAAATACCTTTGGCATGTCAGTGTCTTTCCGTTGAAAAGAAAAGATTGCTCTGGGTAACAGGTGCAAATATTTTGGTCACGGGAGATTCATAGTCTCTCCCCACCCTACAAGCACACCCAACTTAAAAATGTGAAATGCCAGGTGAGGTGTTTCAGTCTCTCATGAGTTTGACTGGCAGGAGTCAGGTGCCTGGAACCAGCTGTGAACATCAGAGACAAGCTTGCGGTCCACTTGGAGGCAGGAGCCCAGAAATCTGGCCAGGCTTCTTCCAATCTCCAATGCCCAAGCGTCTCCCTACTGGGACCCACCTTGGGCAGAGGGAGGCTTGTCTTTGGAGAATCCGACAGGAAGCCAGCAGGCACTGGAGGCACCCCACAGCATACCACATTGAGAGTGTAGGGGAAGTCACTGCTCAGTCCCCTGGGAAGGGAGGACCCAGGAGAAGGGGAGGAGGGTCGGCAGAGTCTCAGCAGGCTATTTGAACTGGATCCTCACTGTGATTGTGACACAGTGACCAATCTCTGGTATGCTGGTGAGCTGGGGTAGAAAGTGAGGCTGCAACAGGATTCCACGGACAGCCTACAAAAAAACCAACAGGGCCTAGGAAGACAGCTCCATTTCAAACCGATGTCATGTTGGTGATTTCATGACGCTGGTGATCCCGTAACCTTCTATAATCTCGCTAGCAAGCTGGCTGAGGGCCCATCTGGAGGTCCCATTCCACCCCCATATCCCTAACCCTTGTAGACCTCACACACATTATGGCTCTTCTCTCACTGGATTTTTACTATTGACATGCTGTCCCACAGCAGACTTTGTCCCTCACAGTGGGGACCATGCATGGCTTGTTCACCTCTCTAACTGCCCTAAGTCTTAACTACAGTGTCTGGCACATGAGTGCTGTGTTTGTTGAGTAATGAATGAATAGGTGTGGGAGTGGATGCCCATTTCACAGATGAGGAAACTAACGCTGAGGAAGGAGAATAATAATGAACCAACATTTTCAATGTGCTGAATACATGTTGCTTCATTTACTTTCAGAACATTCTAATGAGGTAGATATTATTAACAGGCTCATTTTTACAAATAAGAATACTAAGGCTAGAGAGAGATTTAGGGTAAGTTAGCAAGTATCTTTCTCAGTTCAATTCAGAAACTCAAGTGGGACTGGGAACAGAAATAAATAGCATTTTAAAATCTATTCTGTCAACAATAGATTTTTATTCATTGGATTTTATTGATTGATTGATTTCTATTTATTAAAATTAGATACTAGTTATTGTACTAGTCTCAGGTTGGTCAAAGATGAGCAAAGCATGGTCCTGGTCATTATAGATTCATTCTCAGTAAAGAGCTATTTGCTGAACACCTACTATGTGCCAGGGTCTGGGGGAAACAGCCCTAAATAAGGCAGATGTGAAGCCTGACTTCAGGGAGTTTCTTGTCTAAGAGGCAACAGGAACCAGTTCAGCATCAGAAGAGGAATCACCACGCACTGGGCCCTGTGCTGTATGCTTTGTTCTCATCCCGTCTGCTCTCACAATGACTGTCTCTGAAGTAGGCATCGAGATCCCAGCTTAAGAGAAGGGGAAACTCAGGCTTAGGGGTGTGACATGACTTGGCCACACTGGGGAAAAATTGCAAATGTAAGAGAAAACCAGATTCATCCAGTGCTGGGATCTATGCTCTTTCTGTTAATAATACTAATAGTAACTAAGCTTAATGGGACACACATTATGTGCTAAACCCTTAAAATAGCATTGCATAGAAGTTCACTTAGTTATTCCTTACAACAATCTCATGAGATAGGAACTATTGGTACTGGCATTTTACAGAACAGGAAACTAAAGCACAGAGATTTTAAGGATCTTACCCAATGTCACACAGCTGGGAAGTGGCAGTAGAGAGATTTGAACCCAGTTGGTCAGGCTCCAGAGCCCTTAAGTCTTTCAGAGTCTATTGCTCCCCTTTTAGCTTGCCAAGAGAGCAGGTGCTGTAGGAAGTCAGAGCTGGGAAAGAACACTGGCCTCAGGCAGAATTTTCACAGGCTTGAAGGGAGGATTATATGAGTTCACTCAGCCATTCAATAAGTATGTATCAGGTACCTGCTATGTTCCAGGCAATATACTAGGCTTTAGCAAAATAATGAGGAGCAAAGATAGATACATTGTTCCCATCATGGAGATTACAGTCTTAAGGGGAAGAGGAGTTTAAATAATCTCCCAAATAAATCTGCAAACTGAAATAAAAGTGAGCGATGGTGCTGAGATAAAAGTGAGTGATGGAATGACAGATCTGGACCTAGACTGGGGTTGAAGGAGAAGTGGTCAGGGAAAACATCCTCTAAATGGAATTACCTAAGCCAAGAGTGACGGTGAGAACACCCAGGCTGAGGGGACAGCATATGCACAAGTCTTTGGGTGGAGAGAATGTGCTAACTTTTGAGAACAGACTAGTCAGTATGTCTGGAACAGAGAGAGTGAAAGGGAAAGACAGGAAGCATCACTGAATGATTTAGGGGAGGAGTAGGAATCTGTGTGCAGGGGTGGGTGGGTGGGTGGATTCCGATTAACATTTTTAAAAGGCTACTGTAGCTAGACTGGGAAAATAGAATGGAAGGCAGGAGTGAATGAAGTGGGAGCCTTTCAGAGGATATTGCAATAGCCTATGGTGGCTTGGGGAAGGAAATGGCAACCCACTCCAGTACTCTTGCCTGGAAAATCCCATGGACGGAGAAGCCTGGTAGGCTACAGTCCATGGGGTTGCAAAGAGTCGGACACGACTGTGCGTCTTTCACTTCACATAGTGGCTTGGATTGGGGAAGTGGGAGATGGACAGGCCCACATGATCCAAATCGTCCTCAGAATCCAGAACTGAGAGGACTTGGTGAAGGTCTGAGATTAGACTTGGATAGATAGGGAGATACCTGCAAGGATTCCCGGGTCTCTAACTTGCCAGGGGACAGAGGCACTTGTTGAGACGGGAGCAGTGAATTTTGCTGTAAGAGGCTTTGCATCTACTCATTGAGAAGCTTCTATGCAGTTGGTGCAGAATCTGAATCTCATGCGGTCATTGTGTGTGTTAGTCGCTCAGTCATGTTCCACTCTTTGATTCCATGGATTGGAACCCACCAGGCTCCTCTGTCCATGGAATTCTCCAGGCAAGAATACTGGAGAAGTTTGCCATTTCCTTCTCCAGGGGATCTTCCTGACCCAGGGATCGAGTCGGGAGACCCAACCTGGGTCTCCCGCATTGCAGGCAGATTCTTAAGAGATAAAGCCAAGTTGAGCCAAGAAACAACCATCGGGCAGCTTCCTTAATGGCCTCCACACAAATTCAACCTGAGCGAGACAAGGCACTGATGTCTGAGGGGCTGCTGGGTGATAGCACACCAGGTTGGTCCAGAGATAAAAGTGCCTGAAGCTGTCTCAGGTTCTCACCCGCAGACTGCAGATCCCTCG